AGCGGGCCAGGAGCGGGCCAGGAGCGGGCCAGGAGCGGGCCAGGAGCAGGCCAGACGCTAGACGAACCCTGTCTGAGACTGAGAGCGTCTGTCAGGCAGGGCAAGGAGCAAACCCATCGTGACCACCAGACTGGTACCGTGGGGTACGGACAAGGATCTAACATGAGACAACCACCAGTCAGGCATCATGCAGGCTTGGGGGTGTGGGCATGCCATTCCTGAGGTGACCCCTGCCTGGAGCCTTAATGCACCAATGGGGCATAGCATTCCTAACACCACTCCTGAGACAACCCCAGACACTCAGAGACCACAGGCACCACTAACAGGATCAAGCAAGTGGTAGAGAAAGGGAAGAGAGAGAAACAGAAGGATGTGGGCACAGTGAAGACAGGCTGAACTGGAGACTGGAGAATAGTGAGGAACAGCCTGCTGGGAGTAGTTGGTGATGCCAGGAGATCTTGGTGGGGTCTGGCCTATGCTGACACTGGGGGCCATCTGCATCCATGGCCCTGCAGTTGCAGGGTTCTGATATCATCAAAGGCAGGATAGATGCCCCTGTCTGATGGCTGTGTAAAAATAGCCCCACCCCTCAGCTGGGAATCTTGGGAGAGCTAGCCCTGGGGCAGGAGAACAAGAGGGCTGTCCCTGACCCTAACTAGCCGCAGTACAGAGAGCGGGCCCCACACATTGTATGAGTAGCAGGTGATCTGCCACTCCTCTTCCTGCATGGTGGCAGACAAGGGAGAAATATCCTTCTCTCTCCTATACCTCCAGCAGCAGGTAAGAAAACAAACCCTGAAGTCATGGGAGAAAGAGAGCTGGGCCCGCCCGTCATGAGCTGCAGCACTTGGGAGAGTGGGCCCTGCACCCTGCATGTTCTGCATAGTAGAGCTGACTCTGGTGACAGGGACACTGGTGAGCAGGTCCCAAGAAGAAGCTGGCCCAGACACTTGTCTGTTGTATGGTGCCATGAGCAAGGTGACCTTTTGTCACCTACAGTAGGCAGAAGAGTTGGCCACACGGTCAGTAGAAAGGGAGAGTTCTCTCTGTCCCTCACCTGCTGCAGCACTTGGAAGAACAGGCCCTGCACCGATCCTAGATAGCACAATAGAGCTGGTCTTGGATGTGGGGGTTGCAGGTAAACTGGCCCCAAGAAAGGGTGTGGGAGGGCCTGCCTTGCCTCTTTTCTGCAATGTGGTGGCATCAGCAAGGGAGAGAGCCTCTTTCATCTTTGTTGTCCAAAGCACCAGTAGTGGGTAGGAGAGTTAGCCCTGAGGAGGTCATGACAGCAAGAGAGCTGTCCCTGCCCCTCCCTGCGGCAGCACTTGGGACATCAGGCCCTATACCTCAGCTGTGCAGCATAGCAGAGCTGGCCCTGGGTGTGGGGTTTGCAGGTGATCAAGCATCAAAGTGAGATTGTAGGAGAGCTGGCCCTACATTGTTGTCGGTGGCCAGGCAGTGGATCTGATGTAAGAGACACCTCCTCCCTTCCCTTGTTTGTCACCATCTATACCAGGCAGGAGAGCTGACACTGTGGAATGGGAGAACTGCCCATGTCCCTCACTAGCTGTAACACTAGGGATAGCAGGACCAGTTTCCTCACCTGGGCAGCAGGGTAGAACTGGCCCTGGTAGCAGGGGTTGCTGGGGAGGCTGCCCTTAGGGGATAAGAGCCAGAGAGCTGGTGGGCTGAATAGTTCACATACCTCTTAGGACTAGATTCAGGGTATTGAATTGTCCCCACTCCAACATCTACCTCATCAATGAATTGCTGAAGTGCATGAAAGGACCAGTCCAACTGCTCCAAAACTGTCAGGATCTCCATGACACAGGGCAACAACAGGATATCTGAGAGGAGTCTTGGTAGGTTCTGACATTGATAGAGTAGCAGAAGCCAAGGCCAAGCCCAACAAGTGATCGCAATGAACATTGCAATCAAAGAAGTGTCAAGGAAAGGGTATACTGTGATGCACTACAGCATCCACAAAAAGATTTTATATTCTCTGTTGGCAGAGGTTGCTGTGTGGAGAGCAGGTACAAGTGGAAGAGGAGATGAGTGAGATTGGGGTGCATGATGTGAAAAGTTTTTTTAAAAAAAAGTAAAAAGTTTTCAAAAAAGAACTTGACTAAACACAACAAAATTTGTTATGAGGATTACCTACACAAAAACAATATTCTTTCTAAAAGTTATTAAAACTACACTAGGAAGCATGCTCTATCCATCACATAGCTTTATTCATTTACCACCTACAAACCTACAATTTTCCAGGTATCCTTCATACAAAACTATAAATGTTGTTTATGTAAAATCATGTCTTAAATTTCTTGAGCTCCTTGGTAACCTTGGTTTCACCTGAGCCTATAATCTTGCACGGTGCATGTCAAGCACCACAGCCTGTAATCTCATTTATCAAATCAGAAAAAGAAACAAACTAGCAAAAAGATATAGTCAAACCCACAGACTGAAAATTTCCTTGAAAACTAAAAAACATTGTGACATTATGGTTCATAAATAATGTCTTAAAATATAGTGGAGATATATTGGAGATACACACATATTTATATATGTGTAAGTATTCTTGTGTGTTTGTGTGTGTGTGTTCCTAAGGCTATTATAATAGAATACATTTTGTGCTTAAACAAAATCTATTCTCCCAAATTTCACTGTGTCAAAACCAAAGTTTGAAATGGGCATCTTTTCTGTGTTCCCATAGACTTTAGAGGAAAAATAAATCCCTCGTCCCTTCTGCTGGCACTGATATCTTTCAGCCATATGGCTCCTTTCTCTGGTAGTAGTCATTGCTTGCTCCAAGTCAAGCTTCATGCTCTGTGGTCACATTGCAACTTTACTCTAATAATCTAAGATAATCACCCATGAATTTAACTCAGCATCTTCTGCAATTCAGCTTTAGCAATGAAGCATTTCAATGTTCAGAGATTAGATTTCATTCTAGAGGTCACAGCTCAGTCTACATATATGCAGGTATTGTGTATGTTGGCACACTTCCTCCAAGCACACAAAAAGAAGTTATTGTTGTATGCAAAAATCAAAATCTAATTCTAAGTTTTATGGAACTGAGAGGGATGTATTCCAATAGTACTGTTATAAATTCAATCAGGTATTGTGTTACTTGAGAAAGCAATGGAAAGATTTTCTCAGCAACAAAAGAATGGTTATGTTTTAGGAAGCAAATATATTTTTTATAATTTCTAGTGAACTGTTGATGTACTATAGTTAGTGACTTAACTGCAAAGTTGCTTTACCTAGGGATAGCAATAATCCCTACAGTCTTAAGAGGGCCATAAGCCTGTAGTGGAGTCTCAGTGCTGGGTTGCCTGCTTTGCATAGTCCACATCTCTTCTAAGTCCTCATAGTCCCTGCATAAATATCCTTTGTGTTTAGGCTATATTTTCTAACAGTCAGCCGAATTTTCTAATTAATTTCACTAGTTAAACCAGACCTCTAATCTTATAACCTCCTAGACTTGACCTCCCTTAAGCAAGAGTATTCTTGGATTCTTTCTTGGGTGTTTAGTTGACACCTGATACTTAAGAAGATATGAACTGGATTCTCATTTCTCTACAGAGCTGCTGAGCCAACAGACTTTACTTTCTCCAGTTATAACTCCATTCAACCAGTTGCCTTAGGTGGAGCTCTGCCTTCAGATTCTATCACCTGTCTCTTGCCAAGTCCAGTTTTCAATTTCTTAGAGATAACGTAGCACCTCCGGCTCCTCTAAAGGCCACTACAAGTCAAAGCTACCATCTTCTCTCTTGCTCAGTCAAAAGTTTCTCAACTCCCACATTAGCCTTACTGTAGTCTACTCCTCCAGGAGACAGGATAATCCTTCTAAAATCCATTCTTACCTATGTGCTCAAAACTTGGCAGTAGCTCCCAATCTCCACTACTCAGCCCTGACCTCATCCTTTACCCTCATGTTTTGTTTCTCCCAGGAGGGCTTGCTTGGTATTTTCCCTAAGCTTAGATGACATAATAACTTAAGCTCCCAAGTGTGGTTGACATGTCATTTGCTAATATATCAGACGGAACTTGTCTCACTGCAAATCTCTACTTGAGGTTTGCCAAAACTCTATTTATTCGTGGTATAATTGCATAGTTGCCTGTTTTATCGTTGTATATCTCACAGTCACTAAAATATGGGCATCAAGAAAGCAAAAGCTTTTATGTGGGATTAAGAAAGCAAAAGCTTTTATGTTGTGATCACTGCTGTGTTGAAGTGCCTAAATTCTAAATGGAAAATAAGAGTAGCTAAATAAAAGATGAAAATGTGTTCGGTCTATTATGTGTAGTATTTGGAAGGACCCGAGCAAGGTTTTCCCAAAACATAGAAATTTAGTGGAATGCATATAAGGAAATTGAGAATAAATTTGCATAGGGTGAATATTGTTAAATTTATGATATGTTTATTTTTCAATGAATACATATTTAGAATTTAATGCTTATGTAATTAACATTTTTGTTACAATTTATTCATTTTGTATCCCAGCTTTAGCTCTCTCCCTCCTCTTCTTCCACTTCCACCCTCCATCCCTCTAACATTTTTATACATGAGCAAATAAAAGATATTGTAATTTGGCTATAAATAACTTTCTCATACAGTCTCCACTGCAGTGGCAAAATATCAAAACAAACAAACAAACAAACAAGTTTGTTAGTAAGGGTCCATTTTGCTTACATATCTGGGGTCACTGTTTTTTGAGAAATACCAAGGCCAATTTAAAGGCAGGAATATGGAGATGCCAACTAAAATACAGCTATGTAGAAACACTGCTTTTTTATTTTTTATTTTCATTATTAGTTATATATTATTAACTCTGTATCCCACTCCCTCATTCCCTCCCAATCCCACT